AACCATGGGGTGCACATATAGCACCGCTTAAGAATCTGATAGCTCTTGCCTGAACTTAGTAAACTTAATTTCACTGTGTCACAGTACAAAAGGCTATAACAATATCCTGATCCTGTACAAAAGGCAGCAAAGGAAAATGAAATACTCTGGGAAGACACATATTAGCTATTCTCTACACTGACATGCAAGATCAGTGAATCATTAGTCTGCAAAAAAAACAAATGTAAAAAAAAAACCCACCCACACAGTAGTGACGAAGGTGGATCACCTGAGTAATGCAAAGACTAACAAAGGCTCAGAAAGTGGATGGGCCAGGGTCTTGGGTGTGTCAAGGTACAGATTACATATTGCCCCTGGGTCAGCAGGCAGATCAGTCACGCCTTTATCTGTTTACTCTAAAACAAGTTCGGGGAGGTGTCCACCCAAGCTCTGTGAGCGAACACTTGTTATGGGCACACATGTTTATTATCATTCGATATTATTGGCTGGGCACCTCAGATTACAGGCGCTGAATCCAAGGGTCATAAATGCCATTCTGCTGTCACTGTTTAAATAAAATGCAGTATAAAAAAACTATGTACAGAGCATAAAACCAAAGTCATGGGTGACGATGTGCATTAAAAATGCATCTGGGCTCGTAATGTAGCTGGAACATTTTATATTTAATTATGCAAAAAGCAAAGATGAGCAGTTAGCCAGATTTCAACATTCATTAGCTTAGCAGTGGCAAAAGAAAGAGATGATTTCTGAATGGCTGCACATTGCTTTTTGACTGTGTGTCACACCAGCATGTGCACTGCAGACACTTTAGAGCAGTGGTGGTCAACCTGCTTGCTATAGGGGGCCTCAAGTGCTGCCCCTGACATCACCAAAGGGCTGCACATAATATTCAGTAAATGTAATGGTACAGTAAGCTGTCAGAGACTGCAGACAAGCAACAGGATATGGTCCGAGACTATACATGTTACAGGAGATGTTGGAAACTTGGGCCATATTTTATATTTCTCTCCACACGATCCACTGTTAAATATCAGAGAAAATAAAAACCAAACCAAAATAAAATAAATGGAGGGAAAGCACAGAGTAAAGTAAGATAGTGTGAAAGAAATAAACCAAACCATTAAAAAGGAGGAGAACTATGGGGTCAGTGTTTTTCCCCATAGTTCTCCTTAGGGTAACGGGAGGACACAAACTAGCGTCCTCCCATTACCCTAAGCTCAGTATACCACGCGCTACAGCTCGCGGTATACTGAGACGCCGCAGCCGGAGCGGATCCCGACGTAGATGACGGGATCTGCCCAGCTGCGTGAGTGACAGCTGGCTTTGCCTATCTAGAGGCAGAGCCAGCTGTACCCGCCCCCTCCCCCGTCCGTTCCGCCAGTCAGCGCTGGCAGATCGCAGCGGGGAGAGGGTAATCCAGCCCCTCCCCCTGTCACGGCAGAGAGCCGTGACAGGATCGAGAGGTGAGCGAACCTGGTATGTGTTCGCTCACCTCCCGATCTACTGAGCCGACCTGTGACAGTCTCATTGTCACAGGGCGGCTTGAACTATGAGGTGAGTGGAAATCACTCATCTCATAGTTCTCCTTTAATCTACTAGAAGCTAGTGTGCACCAAACAGCACTACTGTCTGCACAGGCCCGGAGGGCTGCACAGTAGGTGCCAAAGGGCCACAAGTTGGACATCAGGGCTTTGGATGATGTTTTTATCTTAAAGGAGCAAAAGTTTATAAACCAGATATTCCTGCAATATTCCTTCACTTCACAATCTGTCAATCAGTGAGATGCTTGCTGCAGTTAGATCTATAAGCTGACCAAAACACCACCTATTCCTGGTCGACTGATCATCTAGTATCCAAGGGGTATAGACCTATGCCATCATTTGAGGTGCATTTCCACACCTGCACCAGGGCTTAGATCAATGATCTCCATTTTAAGAAGTTTAAAACCTAGATGTACACGCCCTGGAAGAACAAGTGTGCAAGTCAATGAGTGCTACATAATTTTTGGGACTGTGGCCAATGCCAACATTCATGATCACAGAGATGATGCTGATAATCACTTTCATTTGACAGTGACTCCCTGACAAACTTTTTTTTTTGTAAAAAGCAATCCTTACTGTCAATTAAGATCTACACAATGCGCTATAACTTTATGGATTGGAGTCACTCCTGTCATGAAGACAAAATATACCTCCAAGTGGTTTCACGGTCATCCCTGTTGGTATAGAATGGCATAGGGCTGATCAGCACAATGGGCGAAGAGGGTTCTTTACAGTAAGAGCGGTTAAGGTCTGGAACTCACTGCCATCGGCAGTGATTTCAGCCAAGAGTGTAGATTTGTTCAAGAAACTTTGGACAATTTCTTGAGGGACCGTAATATCCAGGGATACCAGTATCCCTAAGAATGAGATGATGCATGGACCTATATGGGTTGGACTTGATGGACGTATGTCTTTATTCAACCCCAAATACTATGTAACTATATACTGCATCTGTATGTGGCTGCTTGGCAGGCAGTACTGACTTTGCCAAGCGCCCCCGAAAACTGTACCTAAATGTGGCCTAGTTAACCCAATGGCTGGCAGGAGGTTTGGCACAGTGGGTCAAACTCTATTTGCCGTACTTGGCCCATGACTGCCTATCATCTTCTAATGTTTCTCCTGGCAGATTGGTTGAGCCATGGACAGAATATTACCTGAAAAACATACTGATTTGGACAAAGATGTGAGCATAGCCTCAGGAGGTGATTTCTTTAAACCTCAGTCACCACACAAGACATTCTTACTGTAAGCACTAAGGTATAAAATTAGGTACCAAGACAGAAAGCTACCCTCCAGACAAACCACTCCATAAATGTTTTAAATTCACATAGGTGATAGTTCTAATCTGCCAAAGGAGCTGTAACTCTGTGCAGCCACTGTTGTGATTCATACCTTATGGCAGGCAGCACAGCCTTCTGTACTTCCACCCCTGCAGCTTCCTGACTAGACAATGAATGAGGAGAAACACACTGATAAGCCATCAACGTTGCTCTCCCCGTCTGCATGTTCCCTGTGAGCACATGTGCATACAGCATAGTCTGATTACCTCCTATTGCTACATCTCCCAGTTTGACTGCTGCAATGCAGGGGAACTCATGAACTGATATCAAACCAGATTCCAGTTGGTGTAGAAGAAGGTAGTACAGAGAGGAGTGGGGAAGGAGAAAGGGGATAAAGAAAAAAAAAAAAGGGAGAGAAAGAGGGAAAAGAAGGTGCCCTTGATGTGTACCTGAGTTATAAATTATTTAAAAATTCTGTAATCCCAATAAGACCAGGTCACTGTGGAAGTGAGGTTTTCCATAGCCATGATGTTGTCAGGAAGCCAGGGACGTCACCTCCCCCCGAGGCCAGAGGGTACAACGTAGGGTACAGACCTCCCTTCCACCTGGCAGAACTACGGGCGCCCCGGCAGCTACTGCGCGTGCACAGTACACATGCTGCGCGCGCAGCCCGGGGACGCGCGCGCAATGCGCATACGCCTCTTTAGGCTTCAGATGTGGGCCTTGCTGGGGGAAGTTCCCCAGCCCACACACACCTGGTCAGAGCCCTGGCTCAGTGCTGAGTTATTCCACCTTATGGTGTGACATACAAAGCTTCCTATGTGCCTTGCTAACCATTTACTGAACTTCTTGCTGACTTCCCGTGTACCGACTTTTGATCGGCCACCGTCTCTGACCCTTTGCTACCCGCCTCGACCTCGGATCTTGCTCGACTACTCCTTTGGATTATCCCTTGGTACCTCGCTTTCGGATCTCTCAGGCCGCTACCTGCCAGTGGGTTCCCTCCTCGATGCTTCCCTTCAAGCGCACCTGTCAGCGCTAGACAGTTGTTCCCCCTGGCAAACCATTGGCTTAAGGTTGGGGGTTCAGTCTGTCTCCAATTTCCGGGAATACATGCCTTGGTGACATTCAATAAGCTGATTTAAAAGATATTGCTTACACTTTTTCCTAGACAAAGGTATCAGGTTTAAAAGGATTGCTTTGGGACTTATGGCTAAAGAAGCCTTGACATTTTTAAAGGAATACACAAGTGCATTAAAATGTGTTTTTATTTCTGCCTGGGGTTTTGCCTAATAAACCCATCATTTAAAAAAGAACTCAAGCCTGCAGCAATCTATATTTTCCATATGCCCGCTTGCATACTGTGCAGCTTTCTTCTCTTACTAGAACACTGATCTCAGGGTCTCTACCTTAAAAATGGAGAAAAATAAAAGATGAGAGGACCACACCATGGTCTTTTTTTATCTTGTTCTGCACTGGTAGTGGGAAGTGTCAGGTGGAGCCTGCATATCACTTCAGTAACACCCACTCATCAGTGATTGAAATATTAACAACCATTATGCCTCTAAAACGAATACAAACATGCTTTGCCTAAATGTGAACAGAAGACAGCATTAAACCAGATATGTGTTGCAGGTGTTTGCAGTCTAGATCACACTAAACAGCATATGACAATAGTCTGAGCTTCCCTTCCAATACGGCATACATTATCACCTAATGCAGTAAGAAACACTTCTTTCTACTCACTGAGAAACAACATTGCATTCACACATAAAGAGCAACATAACTTATAATGCACTGAAGCTGCAGATCCCGAGTCCCAGGATTCCATGTGCACAGGGTCTGTAGTTAATGTATCTAATTCAGATGAAACTGGCTCTATGGAAATTGTCTGCACCACATAGGACATACCTTAGTAGCAGTGACTGCCTCCCACCAAAGCTAAGGGGGTGTATAGAAGATAGCATGCGGGTCTTGTGGAGACTGGGCATCTGCAGACAGGAAATATGCTGCAATGTCCTTAATGAGAATGCAAACACACAAAAGTGGAAAAAAATTAAAGCGCAGAACAGTTTTCTGGCCAGAGGCAGAAGCAAATGGGACAGGAACAAGGCTAGAATTGTGATTTAAGGTTGGTTATGTCCAGAAAACACATAAAAGCTATGCTAGTGACACCTACCTGGTTGTCATCCTCCATGACATTGCTTGCAAACTCAAACACCAGTTCATTTTGTTGTACGGCAGTGGCCATCCTAGTGTATCCTCTTCCCACAACTCCTCATGAGAAGAATGGGTCACCCTACTGTCGATTTAGAAGGCAACAATCAGCAATTTGGACAGTTTGGATCTTTCAAAGTGCTTCTTTCAGCTACTGTAGCTTACATATATATATATTCCAGCTTTCTTGACTTTCTTCGTTAGACGAAGACAAAGGATTTTCTTAAAGTGCTATTTTCATGGAATCGTCAGGACCTGCAACATGCCAAAATATAAAAACCAAACTTAATGATGTAGTGATAAAAACAAACACTTACCAACCTTTGTCACTAACAATTACTAAGACAAATAGTTTGAACAGAATACAATCTGCCCCACATCATATAGTCATCCGCCCCCATAAGTATCCACAGTTTCTACAAATCAAGGGAAGCAGTTCATTTTTAATGCTTATGCTATAAAAAAAATTTAAAAAAACTATTGTTTGCAACTTAAAAATGCAATCTTGTTTTAACTATTTAATAGCAAAGGTAGTTAAAGAACAAATTAAAAGGAGAAAAACTGACAATGTCATGCATAACAGCACAAGCTAAAAAAATAACAGAATTGTGAGTTTGCAGCATTTTTCCCTCTGACATTTTCTGGTCTTGTCCGCACTGAAAATGCATTCTTATCTGAAGAACAAGCTTGTGAACTACAGGAAGGAAACAAGCAATGACCACGTCACGGCAAACTCGAACATGCAAAGATCCGCACACCACAGCCACCCCACCCAGACACATTGTGAAAAAAAAAAGTGCAGAATGGAAACAGCTGTACTGGTAAGAGTATGACTGGAATCCCCCCTGCTCTGCTGTTGTGAAAGAAGCAACTCTGAGGAAAGGCTCAGGAGAGAGATAGCGAGATAGAGAAAGAGAAAAGGAGGGATGGGAGAGAGACAACCAGAGGTGTACACACAGGGCATGCAAACACCTCCTCCATTCAAATATAATGCTAAAAACAATAAGCTCACTGTTTGCCACCTTTCTTATTTTCATTCTAAGACATTCATGTAAGTTGCCTTAAGGCCCCATTCACACCTAGGCGTATTGTAATATGCGCGTCTGTCGCACGTTTTTTTTACCGCAAGTCGCGCGATTCCGAAGGCTACTTGGCTGTATCCCAATGGAAAACGGCCCAAAGTAGTACCTGGACCTTTTCAGGCGTGGGCCGTTTTGTAGGGCGTTAGGGACGGGCGGAAATACGGCAAGGTGGGAACGAGGCCATTGACTACAATGCAATTTATATTTGTGACCGGTTTGTAGAGCGTTCGTCGAGCGTAGAACGTGCTACAAAACGGTCAGGTGTGAACGAAGGCTAACACAGGCAGAGCATGGCCTAAAACCTTAAACTAAACATTGCAGGAAAAGCTATGGCAGGTGACATACACTACCACCAGCTGATGACACAAGACAAAAGTACAAAAGCAGCCAATGTAGCCTTTTAAGTAAAATTTCAGATTTGGTTGTATTTGGCTTATAAAAAAAGAATGTGCTGTATGCTATTAAAAAGGACACAATAACCATAAGATTGAAGCAATTAAAAAAAGATTTGTGTATGTTACTGGCAGGATCACCAGGTAATGAGAACGAGAAAAAAAGGATTAAAAAAGGAAACTTAAAGTGGAACTAAATTCAAGAGTTAAAGTGAAATTAAAGTCAAAAGATTTTTTTCTCTCCCCCCAATGTTTATGAAACCACTTACCTTAAATAATTTCTCTTAATCCGACCTTCTTTCCTCATGTTTTCATCTGTCCCTCCAGCACTGCTGCGGGTCTCCAATCCAGCACTGACTCCTCTGTCCTTGCTGGCACTTCCTGTCCCACGGTGTCTGCAGGCGGGTGCACGCGTCCATAGACTTACCTTGTGTCTCTCCTCTTCTCCCAGCCGAAAATGTGAACTGCGCATGCGCCTGCCACAAGATCCTTTGCGGCCGCCTGATAATTTTCACATTTTCGGCGGGAGCGCGCGTGGAAGACACAGGTAAGCTTTTAAAGCGTTTATTTATTTTTACAGTTTTTGCATATATCTACTGCTTTCTAGCAGTAGATATATGCAAAAACACTGGAGGGTTTAATAACCCTTTAAGTCTTAGTTTTACATTCAAGTATCTTAACTATTAACAAAAATGTATCTTATTTGTGCATCACTCAGATGTAGCTCCTCAAATCATCTGACATCTTGGTGCTGATACTGTCCTTCCTTCTGGAGGGTGGCTACTTTTGTTCCCCATAATTCCTGTGTGTGTTGTAAAGTCCAAAGCTCCAAGCTCATACCTGTGATTAGCTACAATCTCAATACAAATTAATAAACTAAACGGGAGAAAAAACGTGTATTGAGATTGTAGTCCATCACAGGAGCGAGCTTGGAGCGGTGGCTACTTTACAACACACACAGGGACCATGGTGAACAAAAGCAGCCACCCTCCAATTCAGATCATTTGACATGCTTATCACTAGGCTCTAGAGGTGGGAAATAGGTCTGACAGGGCTACATAGGGCTTTCTACTCACCAGAAATTGAACAGATTAGTTTTGAAGTATGGGGAGAGACAGTATGGGGGGGGGGTGTTGGCCATGAAGAGAATCTGTCTCCTTGCTAGATTCGCCAGAAAAAAGATTTGCTACATTGTAGGGAGCTTGTAGAAATGTTATTTGTGTCTAAGCAATACCTTGAAAATGTGTGTTTATCTGGAGTTCATACTAAGAGCAATGCACTTCCAGGTATTTCAGGGTGCAGCCTTGTAGCTGTATAACTGCAGCGTAAATCTAAGGCACTGCTGCCTCTGACTGCTAGACTCAAGAGATTTGGAGTGAGATTTAGAGATGCCACTAATGTGCTGCTCACTGTTGCTGAAGGATCTGGCCAACCAAGATGGCTTCCTCCACACTGAGCCACAGTGCAGAACAAAGCATGGTAAGGCAGTAATGGGGCCAAAGCAGCTGACCACAGGCAATACCAGTGATTGGTCTTTTACCCTCTGCTTGCCGTTTTTATGGGCATGGCTTTCAGTTCCTTTAACGTTTGTTCTTCCCAATGCGCCTATTAAGAAAATGTGGAGAATTTTGGATGTCCACGTCTTTGTGGCAACACCTCTTGCCAGAGGTCTGAACCAGGAAATAAAAAGCTCAACTCCCAAGCTGCAGTGCAAATTTACTGTGTATTCTGCGCACAGACATGTATTTCAAAGACGTCAGGGCTGCATAGTAGCCATTTTTTATTTTTTAAGGCAAAGGCATAATGTGTTAATCTGTTACATTTAGATCTTTCAGGAACCCCTCCTTTGAATACAAAAGGATATCACACTATTTAATTCAATCTATAGTTTCACTAACCAATCATGAATGACTGTTGATTGATTTGCAAACAAGAGTCTTGCAGCAGTAGTTTTCCATGCAAACCTCACTTGTAATATAGCCAAATGTGATGCCGAAAACTTTGGTAAAACAAGCAAAGAAAGGTTAGCCTGAATCTAAAGTTTTAAACCCATCATCCGACTGCTTTAATAATGAAGGCGAGAGCAAGCAATTCAACCAATATCTCATGTAAACACACCCTCCATCCAGCTGTGTGTGTGCAGACGTTCTGACAGCAGGAATTAATGGAGAATTACAGACGGCTTGGGAATGAGATCACAGATATCCATGACCTCACCGCATAAGGGCCTGCATTCAATAAGATAAACAGGCATGTAAAAGAGACACGTTACAGCTGAAGTCTAAATTACCCGCTAGAAATGAATGTTAAAGAAAAACTCCAGGCATAATTATTCTTTACCCTTGCAAGTGGGGCTAACCCCGCACCTGCAAGGGTTAGGTGCTCGTTTTCAACTAGGCACGGAAATTAAAAAGGCATATACAACCTGATCTGTTGGCTGCTACTCCAGTCACTGAAGCCCGTTTCATCTCTTCCCTGCAGCAATGGTATGTCCCTCGATGTCCTCATGTCCTATATACTGTATTGGACTTGATGACTCACAGGACCTTAAACCACCGGAGCAAAGGGGGAGATCCAGGGACCAATCTAACAGCCAGTTGGCTCCCAGGTTTCTTATTTTTGTCCCTTGATGAAAACAATCCAAGATGGCTTCCTCCACATCTGGAGTTCATACCCAGGGGTCCTCAAACTACGGCCCATGGGCCAAATCCGGACCGCCAGGGCCCAGGGTCCTCAACCCAGCCCGCTCCTGGTGGCGGGTGGCGAGCGGCGCTGTCTTCACTCCCTCTCTCTGTTTCTCTTCTGTTATTGAGAGGAAGTTACATCAGAGAGAGAGAGAGAGAGAGAGGAAGCGAGGGAGAACTCATCCTCCGGCAGTCTGACTGTTCTACTGACTGTCCTTCTCACCTGGACTTCTAAACAGGTAAGAAAATAAGTCATAATAAATATAAAAGGGGGGGGATACTATTGTACATAAAACATGCCCCCATAAAAAAATGCCACAGACAACCTGTGACATGTTTTGTGGGGGCATCTTTTATGTGCAATAGTACATATCTTTCAAAATAGATGTCCAGATTCCATGTTAGTGCAACATTCATTTTATTGATAGTTGTCATTCAAACGTCAATTGCGTTTGGGGCTGCGCAGGGTCACCCTTATCAGACTCAGAAATGCGCTTGCCTTTTGAATGACCTCAATAAAATGGATTTGCACTAGGGATGCACCAATACTGATGCTAGTATTGGTGCCAATACCGAGTATTTGGACGAATGTCCGATACTAACCCCGCATACCTGAACTTCCTGTCAGAGGGAGTTCTCCATCTGTCCAGCAATACCGAGGGAGCATGGAGCCAGCTTCCTTTCCAATCAGGAAGCCGGGCAGCGTGTTATGACCCGCTTCTTGATTGGCTAGGAAGACTGCTTCACGTGTTCCTAAGCAGCCTGGCTTCCTAACCAATCAGGAAGCCAGGTGGCATGTAATGAACTGCCTCCCGGCCACCTGATTGGTCAGGAAGCCAAGCTGCCTAAGAACAAGTGAAACCAGCTTCCTAGTCAACCAGTTGTCTCCCCTGTGTTCCTCTGTTTAAAAAAGTTTGAGGACCCCTTGGTTTAGGTGGCGGCCCGTTTGCAGGTAAAAAAGCTCATTGGAGATACATAGATCAAGCAACATTTCCCAGGCTGCAGCCTTAGCCCTGATGCAGATATTGAAAAGGGAGTCAGTTGTACCCAGGCTAGGTAAAATTGTCACAGTGTAAAGGTGCCTAAGAAAAGCCAGT